GTCACACCGAACGTTTGTCACATCGTCTACGCATAATGGATTCAGCATTGACCTTCCGAATTCTTTGAAAGCAAACCGGATTTTCTTATGAATGGATGAGCTTGATAAAATGTATGATGTAATTTTTAAACGGTTTTATTTAGCTTGTTCAGAGTTGTATATTTATAGTTGCAGCAATTAGCACCTTAAGATATTTATATTGTTGCGAACATCATATTGCAAGCTTTAAAAATGGTCGTGCCACATATTTTGACTAAGGTGTAGGTAGAGTTTGTTTAGAGTTAGTAGCTTGGCTCTACATGAGATCTGATAACCTTTTCACAATGGCAGTCTATGGTCTCGTCTTGGCAACATTTTACATGATCATGTTCTGGTTGGATAACCCTTTTTTCTGGAAACTTGACTAGCTTTGTTGGGCCTTTGTTCATAAGTCTTTAAAAAAATAGAGATAAATCGCATTTCGTCCACAGAAGTGATGAGCTGTCGCCACTGCCCGTTGAAGGAATCCTGAACACTAGAGGAATTCTCCTGCGTACTGTCCTTGCTTGTTTAAGAGACCCATCACCAATATCACCATGATATTAACTTGAATATCCCCCACTGCCTATTAACATCCTCAACTCAAGACTAATTCTTCTTTTTGCTCGTTTAAAAGACGCCCATCCTAAGCCCAAAATCTTAACTTGGAATTGCTGCTTGGTTATTTTGTTACATAACTACAATTTTCAGTGTTTCATAAGTAAGCGGTCAGTATAATCAAGCCTTTCTAGATTAGAGATATCCATGAGTCAGAAATACTCAGAATATCTGGCACGTGATTTAAACCTACTTCATAGAAGTGGAAATTAAATAATAGCTTTCTTGTATTTGCAATTCGCCTGCATGCAATTTGTCGAACAGTACGAGTAAATTAACTATGATTTAATCACGCATAATTCTTTCTATCTGTCACGATTCTCCAGTAGATCCTCTATTGCTTATTCATTAACTCACGTGCACGTGTCCCAATCAATTTCAAATCCTATTACGTCGAGTTAAGACTCACATCAGCAATGTAATTTCTAAACGAGTCAGTATATCAGGTCAATAATACCAGTTCCCGTGCGTGCGCATAATCTCGTCACAGTTAGTTGCGAAGAAAATTGCGCTTTTTTTGTTTTGGATAAGGTGGAATTTTGCGTAATTATCTTTTTGTTAAACCGATTTGTCGTTTTGACTGTTTTCAAGTATAGAGACTCTGGTATCACTTTCGCCAGTGAATTATTTATGTCTCAGCAGTCGACTTTGTCGTCACAATTAGTCACGGCTGAATTGATTTTCATAATGTATTATTTTATTGATCGTAGGTACAATGTATTAATGGTTTTTGTTATTAAATTTTAAACAACGTTATTTTATTGCGCAGTGGACCCTGAGATTATGAGTTTATTGACTCTATCGTTACCAGAATTAAAATATCAGATGATGAATTAATAATTAAGCTAAAATGTCTATTCCAAGATCGAAACTCCTTATTGGATTTTGAACTTGAGAATAAGTTTCTAGATCAGTATAGTGAGATGTGATATAGGGGAGGCCAGACCCCGTAGTGGATTGAATGCAGGTAGACTAATATTGACGAGTCATCTGGCAGTTTATATCCTGGCTATAGTAGTGATGGGAAAGAGATATGGGATTAGTCCTATAGTCGATTTGCCCCCTAGACAGTAACATTTGCGACAGATCTAATTTCGCAATCGCTTCACGGAACTAAGTAAGTAGCACGGTACCTACCTAGTTAAGTACAAAAGAGTTTTACGCCCGTATTCACAAACGATACTTGCTTGAGTGAAGCAGCAAATCGAACGCACAGCGTTGAATAGAGCTCTGGGTTTGGTTCATGCGTCACCCTGTGCGTCCACGCGCACTGTGAGACCTCATAGTAATGTTTGTGAATACGGGCGTTAGAATCTTAGAATTAAAACTGCTACTTTCGACTCCTCTCGATTTTGGGGTGATGACGTATGGGTATACCTTCGTAATATTGATTGATTGATACACGTTCAGGCAAAAGCGAGCAAGCTGAAAATCTTATGGCCGCCGTAAAATTTCAAACGCTGCACGGTGGGCTGATATTAGAGCTTCATAGACTTAGCGTAGCTCAAAAATCAAGTGCCGAATTTTGAAAAAATAAATATGCCAACGTGTTCCTTTACCAAAAAGGAATATTTTATGTTATGTAACGTTTCTTGATAAAGTTATTATTTAATAAGTTATTGACAATTTCCTTTTTTTTTGTATGGAGCTCAACATTTATTTTTATTTTATTCGTTATTCTTAAGCTTTCTTAAGAAATTGCTTTTTGTATTATGTAATGCATCATATAAGCTATATTATCACCAAGGGACGAATCCCGGAAACCCTCGGAACATTGTCATTTTCGACTTTAAAATAAAAAAAAAAAAAAAAGAAAACTGCAATGTTATGTACTTTCTTCCGTACTATTCTAACGAGGTGAAGAACTAAGCACGTTTTTTATAGTGGTGTTCCCAGGAGGCCTAATCCACATGATTACTAAGGTTACTATAATACATATAATATTTGTTTTATGGAAATTAAGCCAGTTTGAAGTTAAATTTATTGGTTAGACTCAAGCGCCACTTTCTGAATCTACAAAAGTAAAGTTTTCTTTCTCAGTATCAGCCTAGACATGAAATTGATCATTTATAGTGGACTTTTTGGTGGTGTTGAAAACCTTTCTTGATGGCAATTACGTCTAAATTATTCATTTCTGTTGATATGGCTTTACAAATATCACATCGCTGCTTGTGCAGAGCTGCCATTTATCAACGATATTATTTTTCTATCTATCAAGTGAGAATCAGTTATTACGAGATTGTTTTGCTTCCAGAATTTTATTACGATCTATTAAATTTTCAATTTCCGCGTCCATTAAGTTTTTTTCATTGTTAACATTAAAATAGGTCGACAATAAATTAAATGCAGCTTATTTTGAATAAAAAAAAATGGGTCTCCTTCATAAATTTGAAAAAGAAATGAGTCGATAGTAAAAAGTGGAGCTAGAAACCTTATTTTCCCGTATCCATTTTATCTGGAGACATCAAACCGAACGTTCATTTAGGCACTTACAAGTTGCCCTAAAACGCTAGAATCATCATTTTCGCAAATTTTGTTTCGCAGACCAAACTATACTACGTACATGAAGCTCTACATACGTACATGCCTGCAAGCATACAAAATTATTGCTCACGGAAAAGATATTTACTTCCAATCAGAAAGTACTACACCACGCTCGAATTTTGTAGGAGAGCAACTAATGAAGATATTTTACACAATTTATTTTTAAAATCTGATTCTCAGATATAGATAATTAATAATATAAACTTCATAGAAAACACAAAGTTTTATCAACAGCAGCAAAAAGTTAATTAATAAATGATCGATTTGATGATGAGGCTGATACTGATACTGAAAGAAAGCTTTACTTTTGTGGACATTAGCCTATTTCACGGTTCAGAAACTGACTCTGAATAACCAATAAACTTAACTTCACACTGGCTTAATTTCCATAAAACATATTTTAATAATCTTACAAGTGAATTAGGCCTCCTGGAAACACCACTATAAAAAAACGTGCTTAGTTCTTCACCTCGTTAGGGTAGTACGGAAGAAAGTACATAACATTGCAGTAATTTTTTTTTTCGTTTTTTTTATTTTATTTTAAAGTCGAAAATGACAATGTTCCGAGGGTTTCCGGGATTCATCCCTTGGTGATAATATAGCTTATATGATGCATTACATAATACAAAAAGCAATTTCTTAAGAAAGCTTAAGAATAACGAATAAAATAAAAATAAATGTTGAGCTCCATACAAAAAAAAAGTAATTATTGTCAATAACTTATTAAATAATAACTTTATCAAAAAAAGTTACATAACATAAAATATTTCTTTTTGGCAAAGGAACACATTGGCGTAGTTATATTTACAAAATTTGGCAGTTATTTAATTTTTTTATTTTTTTTTATTTTAAAGTCCAAAATGACAATGTTCCGAAGATTTCCGAAATGCGACACTTGGTGATAACATAGCTTATATGTTGCATTACATAATACAAAAGTTAATTTCTTAAGAAAGCTTGAGAATAACGAATAAAATAAAAATAAATGTTGAGCTCCATACAAAAAAAAAGGAAATTGTCAATAACTTATTAAATAATAACTTTATCAAGAAACGTTACATAACATAAAATATTCCTTTTTGGTAAAGGAACACATTGGCATATTTATTTTTTCAAAATTCGGCACTTGATTTTTGAGCGACGCTAAGTCTATGAAGCTCTAATATCAGCCCACCGTGCGCTGGTTCGGTAACCTTAGCCAGATTTCCAATCACTGCAGCTAATTGATTTCTTTAATGATTGCTTTCAATTTATTAATTACATTATTGTCACTTTCTTTAGCTTGCAATATAACGGTGGTATTAAGCAATCAGTTGAGCTTAAGTTTAACTAAGTATAGATACTCACGATAGTTGCCGATCTTTCATTATTTTACAAGTATAAGTATTGCAATTATACACAATCAATCAAAATGGTACCTGTATTAAAATCGTTTCTAAAAATACAATATTTAATGGTTTAGAGTTATTGCTTTTTCATTTAATTAATTGTTTATTAATTTTAGGCGCCATTACAGGGAAAATAATTAATATCGTTAAACTGGCATAAAATATGTGCAAAATATGATGATATTTGGTAAATTCCGACAGACCAAGTATTGAAACACTCATTGGGCCACCCTATAGCATTAATTTTATGTGAGATTTTTGTTTCTACTAATAATATCGGATCATACAAATTCATACAATGGATGACATCAATAATGGTTCTCCCATGACCCCTACATTTTTTTGTAGTAAATCTTGGATTTCTAAAGTCAAAATCAATGTAACAATTAGATAATATCCTAACTTTTACATAATCTCGTTTAATTGTTCCAGATTTTTCGCGCGACGTGAGAACAAAGAAAACTGTTATGTTTAGATCAACAATGATGCTCGCAAACAGTCTCCCAACGGCTGAATAGATAGAAAACCAAGCAAAAAGTGACCAATTAACCCGTTCAAAGACAATGTGACATAACGCCATCTTGCGGTTAACGTTTGAACTTGATTGTGAGTGAAAGTGCTTCGGGCAAGATGAAGTTGAATTTGTTTAGGCGGTCTATGATCTTCGCTACGTTCTTCGGGGCGTGTCTTTGTATCGCGTTGATAGTGGCGTCGTTGGGGACTACGCATTGGATAGATGCGCGGGCGCGGCGGACTTCAAACCCTCTGGAGTCTGAGGGCAGAATCAGCTTTGGACTCTTTGAGGGCCACAAAGAGCTCAATTTCGGTTACGGGTGGAGGAACCATGACTTCAGCGGTAAGTTTCTGCTTGAGTGATTTCTGATTATTATGTTATGTTTCATTTTGGAACATTCTTTGTTTCATAATATTGGACCAGATAAGGCGTCCATAATCCTTATGATATAAGCATAACATTTGTCTATAACACAATCAATCCAACGTCAGATTTGTTAAAAGGCATTGAGCGAACGATTATGTATACGATTCACTGCTATGCTGCTATAATGGGCTATGATAGCTCACACAACCCTTCTCTGTTCGTAAGAAGAAGAATGAGCTATCTCATTTATCTTCTTATAGATCGATCGATATCATAACTGGCAACCCAACCTCACCAACTGGGCGGTGTGGTAATCATTGGTGATACCTATTTTCAGCAGTTGACGTCCTGGGTAATCATTGCGGGAAACCTATGTTCAGCAGTTGACGTCCTGTGGCTGATATGATGATGGTGATGGTGGTATAGTCTGGTCTGCGACTGTGCGACGGCCGTCCGTCGTGTGCAGTGCAGTGCAGTGAGTGTGCGAGCGCGACAGCAACATAATTAACGAGCGATAAGGATGTTGTAGCTTGGGGTCATTGGACAAAATTCTACGTGCTCACAGACCGGGCTTTACCTGTTGACATCTTAGACTTTAACAGTATAATCAAACATAGCGATTCCAATTTCCAACAACGTAATTCCACTGCCAGCTAGTTTAAGTTGAAGCAGCTGCGTCTTCATTGATTAAACCTTAAGTAGCTACTCTATACCAGCGAATTTTTTGTCACTTTAATTCCACTCGCCCTAAAAACCGTTCCTTATCCCCTTTCAGTAAAAGCCGGCTCCCACCCTGCCCGCCGATGGGCCTGGTGCGGGACAGCCGGTCAGCTGGGCGCAGCCTTGATATCAGCTGGAGGAGCCTGCATACTGGCTGCCTTGGGCTCTGCGGCCCGGGTGCGTTGTTCACCGCGTCCACTGCTGATTGGGAACTCTTTAGCAGGTAAGAGAGAGTCCTGTACTTCTAGAAGTACGTCAACTAGAGCTAGATGCGTCTGAAAGCTGTCCCAAGGTGTTTTAGAACTGACTGACTGGTAAAAGCAACTCCTACAGCTCTTAAAGCAGAAGCAGTATGACACAACAGGCTAGATCATCACCTAGGTTGTATATTAGCTGCTATAAGTCCTTGGACTAGCTGGTCATCTGGGAGCAGCCTTGATATCAGCTGGAGGAGCCTGCATACTGGCTGCCTTGGGCTCTGCGGCCCGGGTGCGGTGTTCACCACGTCCATTGCTGATTGGGAACTCTTTAGCAGGTGAGAGAAAGTTCTGCGATTCTAGAAGTAATCCAGCTAGAGTTAAAAGCGTCTAAAAGGTATTCCGAGGCGTTTGAGAACTGATTGACTGGTAAAAGCAACTCCTACAGCTCTTGCGTGTACATGCTCTGGAACACCTGGCCTTCCTGCACTTAGTACGAGTAAAAGCAGTGTAGCAGAGTAACCTGGATATACTATATCATGTATATTTGCTGCTATAAGTGTTTGCATTTTCCAGATACGAGGTCTTATAAAGCTTACTGGCTCGTTAGAGGGAATAAAGACAACCCCACATCCAACTGAACACTATTGCATCTTCTTTTTTATCTTATGTAGCTGCATGCAATAGGTATTTAAATCAAAATGTATAGCCCTATGCGCTGATGACTGAAGTGAATCTACACCTTCTCAACTCCTGTCCTCTCTCGTTCCAGTGCTGTTCACCCTCGGAGCGATATCCGTGTGGCTGACCGAGTACTTCCTGCGGCTGCAACACAACGTCATGTCTGATGAGGACCTCGCCAACACCTGGTCTTCGGACGGGATGGCCGATCTGGGACTGTCTTTTTGGTGAGTTGTTTGGTTTTACTTGTTACCTTCGTTCGTTTCAGCCAAATGACGTCTACTGCTGAACAAAGGAATTCCCAAGAATTTCCACAAAGACCGGTCCTGCGCTGACCGCATCCAGGTACTTCGCATGACCTTCTATTCTTATTCTCCAGACCGTCGCTCCACCTACGGAGAGTTTTTTAGTGTCATCATCATCATCATCTCAGCCATAGGACGTCCACTGCTGAACATAGGCCTCCCCCAATGCTTTCCATGTTGCCCGGTTTGGTAACGGACTGCGTCCAGCGCCTTCCTGCTACCTTTATGATGTCGCCGGTCCACCTTGTGGGTTGACGTCACACGCTGCGTTTTCCGGTATGCGGTCTCCACTCCAGAAGCTTGCTGCCCCATCGGCCGGCAGTTCTGCATAATATGTGCCCTGCCCATTGTCACTTCAGCTTGCTATAATAATCCGTCGGGCTATGTCAGTGGTTTTTTAGTGTGCTTTTATCTATTTCGTTTTTCTTGTTTTGTGTGGTGTTTTACTGTCTATCTATTTCGGACTTTTTAAATACCTGCTACCCCTAAGCACGGAACTATTTTACTATTCTACCTTTCGTTCCTGGATTTTGCAGCTGGAAACTGCATCGGTGGGAGTGAGAAGTGCGGGACTATTCCCACCACTCGCTTCAACCGTTGCAGCCAGGATTTAAAACTTGACCATAAAAAGTAAACTTGTCTTTACAAGTTTGTGTCATGTGAAAGGTGGAGTAATTCAGTAGAAAGAAACCACTCGGCACATAAGCTGACGTGCTCGTTAGACTGACGACCTCAAGTAGACTAGAAAATAAACACTACGCCATCTTATGTATAACTGTTTTTACGTAATTTTTGCCCTGAACAGTATTTTCAAAGTACCCTTTCTCATAACATTCCAGGTTGGTGGTATCCGCCAGCATAGCAGCCTTCGTCAACATTGTCTGTGTCCTCATAGCCATGTCTGACGCTAGAGACATAGACACGGTAGCCCCGGCATTAGAGGAGAAAGTCAACGGCGCCATCATGCTGTACTAATAGCAGCTTACCGACCAAATAGTGTGTCGGGCGGACAACAGATGGCGTTGTATCCCATTTAGATCGCGCTAGTGTATGCTATTTGAACTTTGCGAATTCGTGTTGTTTTTAAATTTACATCAGAACGATTACAGACATTACAACTTGAATTTGAGCAATTAGATTCAAGATTTTTTGGGAAAGTCAACGGTGATTAAAAAGAAACGAAGACTTATTTTCATTTTCTAGACGAGTATTCTACTTTTCTTTTGTATCAACCAACATTGATTTACACGAATGAATAAATTTCGCAACTATCTATGAATTTAATCCCCAAATGAAAGGCTTGGATTATAAAATAATATCCATGTATTTGAATCTCTTATATTGTCTCTAATTTTGGATATTTAATAATATTGTCTATGTTCAAACGAGCAGAAAAGGCTGAATGGTTATCCCCTTACTAATAAAATTAATACCTGGGTACATTAGTAAAGTTACAGGTCATTTGTTACTATAATAAATGGTACCTAGTAACTATTTCTTTATTTGCCTACTCAACAAAAATACGTTTGGATATATTTGTGCATGATCAAACAATTAAATAAATTATTTTAAGGTTGTATAATGTCTTACCATAAATGAATGTAAGAGTTGATTAGTAAGGGGGTTAGTAGTTAAGTACTAATTTTAATGTATTATATTCCGTCCAATTTATATTAGTATTAACATTTTACCTGTTGTAAGCATTCCATTTTTATTGTACAATGCTTAATTGAAATAACGCAAAGCTTAGGCAATTAAATAGATTTTATTAAATAAAGTGATACAGCTATAGTCTGGTCTGCGAGCACGTAGAATTTTGTCCAATGACCCCAAGCTACCCATCCTTATCGCTCGCGCGTAATTATATTGCAGTGAGTTTGCGAGCGCGACAGCAAGGATAATGGGTGTGGATAAGGATGGGTAGCTTGGGGTCATTGGACAAAATTCTACGTGCTCACATACCGGGCTTTATAAGTAATGTATTATCGTAAATGATTGTAGAAAACTTCATACGTTTTATTTCAATTCTATTTGATTCATAAACTCTTACAACTTGATTGATGCACTATCGTTGCGATCGATATAAAATCGTCGTAGTGAAATCGATTTATTATTCGATTTTAGATACACTAGACATATGCTTTGCGTTAATTCAATTACTCATGTATTGTCATTGTATAACACGTCGACTACGATTAGAATTTTAATATTATACCTACAAACAAAATCTCTAATCACAGAGGAACTGGCTGTCTTACTTTCAAATGCAAACGTGAAAATGCTGTTAACATTGTTGTTATGGCGACAGACTTAGGTAAGATGGTGGTAGCTAGCCAGGCGGACTTAGAACAAGCCCTACTACCAACCAAACCGAGCAGAAAATTTCATCCGGGCCTTTTCAAGGCGAGAGTGTATAAGCACTTATAGGGCAGATATTTACCATTCTAGACTGCATCACTTAACATCAGTGTGCTTACCATGAGTTTACGTTAGGTGTGCTCGCTAGTGAGTGCCTCAAATAAATCTATGAAGATTTTAGTTCTTGAAAGTAGCCGCTAGGGGCGTTGTATAATCTGTCATACATTTAATGACATTTTTTTACGCAGTCGCTAGCGAGCACACCTAACGTAAACTCATAAGCAAACAGGTGCGATTCGATCAAATACCTGCCTTGTTCTGTATAAAAAAGAAATAATTTAGTTATTAAATGATTATAATCGTAGTCGATTGTTTTATATAGTATGTAAAACATTCCAATTTATATACGTGAACTATACATAGTTATAGTATAATATCTTAATTATAATTACCTCATTTAGACTAGCCGCAGACCACCGATTTTTAGTTGGCCGATAGTTGTGCCCGATTTTAAATTGTATGAAGAATCGCCCAAATTGAACCGGTGTATCCATACATGCCCATACTGATCGTAAATACATAATTAGCCTTAAAAGCTATGAGCTCCAAGACGTGGCATATGAAGGTAGCAGTTAGTAGCGACTTTTGGTTAAAAACAAACTCTTTTAACTAGCGCAGTTTGTTCTCGCTGGATAGGTGACCAGACATTCTGATGATAGGAGATTATTTCCTTTAAATCGAGGGTAGCAACTATTTAACGATTAGTAGCAACTAGTAGCAACTTTCAATATTTGTTTCGATGTAAAATATGGGTGGTGACCGTCCATTCTGATGCACACCGACTAAACTATCGGCCGACGAAAAATCGATGGTCTGCGCCTAGGCTTATAATCAATTTTATTTTCCGTCCAAAGTTAAAAGTGATCAAAAACGTACGTAAATTATTGTTAAAGCCATAAGTGCCATTAGGTATAAGTTTGTATTTTTTTCTATTTATAATTACTGCGTTCTTTTATCTTTTGTGAATTTATTTTTCTCAATGAATACTAATTTTATTTTATCCCTGACTTTTATTTATAACTAGCTGACCCGGCGAACTTTGTTCCGCCTTAATGGCAATAAATAAGCAGACTATTTTTTTAATTTCGAACGGGATAAAAAGTATCCTATGTCCTTCTCCTGGCTCTAAACTACCTCCCTGACAATTTTCAGCTAAATCGGTTCAGCCGTTCTTGAGTTATAAGTGGAGTAACTAACACGACTTTCTTTTATATATATAGATAGATAACAACCCATGAAGAGTAACAAAATATTGATCACCTAAAACAATAGATGTCACAGTGTTATTGCCTATCAATGTGTATGTATCAATAATACAGTGTGAGTCACGTTAAAGTGTACATATGAAAATAGATGAAACTAGACCTATTTTTATCGACAAAAAAGAGGTCAAAAAATTTTTGAGATTTTTTTTAATTTTTTTATAGAATTTTTTTTCTTCCAATTACTTATTGTAAAGAAAACGTAATAACTTTTAAACTAAGCGGTATATCCTGATAAAATAAAAACAATAATAATGCTAAAAAAATACATAAAATACACAAAAAAGGTCAACAAATAATAAAAAATGACACTTTGAAAAAAATCTGCTTTTAAATTCGTGTTTTTTTGGTTATTTGATAAATTTATCCTAAAAATGCCCATATAACAGGTGGTTTTTATTACTTTTTATTATTCTCTATCGTATTATCTTTGTAAAACCAAAAATCGCATGTCTCTATCCCTATCACAACATTTGCTATGATCGTTTAAACAAAGGCCTGCCACAACATTATTCTCCGCTACAGGTAGAGACAATTTTAATTTTAACTAAAATGCTTATTTTACTTCGAAATCTTTTGTTTTTATTTGAAATCTAACTTGTCTTTATCAAAATTATAATTCTAGAGCCATTTTCAGTTTCGTTGTTAACGAAGCTTTGAATGGCGCGCCCGGAGAGGCTTAGTTCAAACGATCATTGCAAACCTTGTGATAGGGATAGAGACATGCGATTTTTGGTTTTACGAAGGTAATACGATAGAGAATAATACAAAGTAATAAAAACCACCGGTTATAGGGGCATTTTTTGGAGAAATTTATCAAATAACAAAAAAAAACACGAATTTAAAAGCAGATTTTTTTCAAAAAGTATCATTTTTTATTATTTGTTGGCATTTTTTGTGTATTTTATGTATTTTTTTATAATCTCCAGTTATTTAGCATTACTACTGTTTTTATTTTATCAGGATATACCGCTTACTTTAAAAGTTATTACGTTTTCTTTACAATCAGTAATTGGAAGAAAAAAAATCTATAAAAAATTAAAAAAAAATCTCAAAAAAATTTTGACCTCTTTTTTGTCGATAAAAATAGGTCTAGTTTCATCTATTTTCATATGTACATACACTTTAACGTGACTCACACTGTATAGATGAAATGTTGAATAACAAAAGCACAGTCATTTTTTTTTATCTTTATTGTAAAGATAATAGGGAGTGTGTTTTTATCCAGTTATTTGTTAATTTCAGAATGCTGAAAAGCCTGTTTTTCAAGCTTCACCGGGCAAATAATTCAACTGTTTTATTACTCTACATAAATACAAAACTGGAAAACTTGTGGTTTTGAAGATATTGATGGTGAAAAGAAAAAAAAACTTACGTTACACCAAAACCTTGTAACAATCAATCGGCTGCAACTTGCCAACAACTCAAAAGCTATTTGGAATCCTATTACCGATTCTTTTGCCATACCCCAATAAATAAAGAAAAGTGCGCGAACTCGTGACGTCATAAAGGTAAGGGACTGTTGATTGGATCGCGGATATTGTCGATTGAATGTGCCGCCTGAATTGCAAACTATTGTACGCACACAATAAGCAGTATTATGTTAGCTGTAAGGCTTGTTTTCTTTGAAAAAGTTTGTGAAAACTTCGAATTGGGACTAAGAAGCCAACAAAAGTAGAGCGTGATAAAAATCGTCTGGAAAAACATTGGTATTGATCAGAAAAGTTTTCTTTAAAGGAAAAAGGGAGTTATAAATAATCGATTTGTTGGTAAACAAAAAGGTTTTCCTCGCGCCCAGATTTTTGGCTGGAAGTTAATATTTTAACATACACCTTTGTCGTTCTTTCCTGAAGGTAATTGTAATATTTTGTTACTAATTTATTAAATAAACTGTCAATAATTAAAAATAAATACTGGTTATTTTTTCAAACGATTTAAAGAGTTAGCTTCAGTTGAACCACCTCACTTTAACCGAAACCATAACCGTGTCTTTTGACGTTTGTTACTTATAGTAAAAGTTAGATGGTGCCCGTGAAACCCAGCCTTAATGTTCAACTAATATTTTATGTTAATCTAAGACTACGATGAATTTCTCGTGACCGACCGTCGGCGTTTCTCGGAATACCATACATACACCCACTACTCCTAATCCCACGCAAGCAGCATCGAATTCCAACTGCCCATTTCAGCAGAAAGCCTTTCTCAAACGTGTACGAACTTGTAGGAAGGCTTAAAAAAGGTAAGAGTAAATCACAATGCAACATAATACCTATGTGTACCTAAGTAGGTACTTACAACGAAAATGGACGGTAGGTAGGTAAATCAAAATGACGGATAAGTACCTACCTACCTACATATTTTCAAATCCATTCCATTGGTAC